TTATGAAACTGAGATTCAATGAACATAGTAATATATCATTTTGGATTTAATACACTTTTTCGTTTCTTTTTGTAAAGCAATATTCACATGGGGTATAATATTTTCTTTTTCTAAAATTTTATGTGATTCCGATTTTATATCCAGAATTGTAAAATGAGTTCAAAGATTTTTCAAATATATATAAAAAAAATAAAATAAATTGTGAGGTAACGTGTATTTTTAATATGGAAATACTATATAATTATAAGTTTGGTATAAGGCTATTATTGCTCATTATTTTTTAAAAAGTATTATGTATTGTCTAGAGAACGGTTTAATAAAAATATCTCCAAAAAATTATAAAATTAGATTATTATTTAGGGTCTATGTTGACCCTTAGATATCTTATAAATTATAGTATTTATAAAAGTTGATTTAAAACTGCTTGTTTTATTTATTTACTTTTTTAATTACTACAATTTATTTAAATAACTTATATTATTCTATTATAAGAGATCTGTTTAGAGTATCTCCAAAAAACTTTTGATATGACCGAAACTCTTTATTATAAAGAGTCTATCCATAAAAACAAGAGTACAACAAATTTTTTATCTTTTAAATATAAATTAAAAAGTGAGTTTGATTATCTATATTTAAAGAGTCAAATTTCACTTTCTATCATAATTTTAATTAATAAATTACAAATTTTTATGTATTTTATTTATTAATTATCTCTTCGATTAAGTTTTTTTTTTTTTTTTAAATAAGAGTATCTTTATTAAATTTAAAAAACGTATTGGATTTAAATAAAAATTTTATTCTTTATATTTAAAAATTAATAAATATATTTTTTATTTACACCAATGACGATCCTTATTTTAAAGAGCTGTTGGAGATTCTGGTAAGTCTTTATTGTTGCGGCTCTCTTATTTGATTGTGATTGGCTTATTTATTAGCTATTTATTACAGTTCAACTAGAACAAAAATCCTCCCTTGGTTTTTATGATATTAATTATTCCCCCAAAGTTTTGAAATTGACACAAACTTCCCTAAAAATTTGTGAATTGACGAATAAGAGTAACATTAGCATCATGCAAATTTTGTTAACATAGTTTAGATCAAAAAACAAACAAACCCGTAAATTGATAAAGGCAACTAAAATCATATTACTTCAAATAAAAGAAAATTTTGAAAAACAAAAAAATTATCGAACGAATTATCTCTATAATTAGATTGTTGTCTACGTTAATTACCGATAACACCTTTAGAATCATATAATACCATCTATGTGGTTAGTTGTTACTAAAAGGAAACACCAACCATTAACGGGAAATCGAGTTGTCTCTATCTTCTGTGTTCATTTATCACTATTAACACCATTGGTACACTAATATCAATAAACAAATTGACGTGTTGCTCCATGCGTGTCTTCTAGGTGTGCGTCAGTAGTGACATATCCAATTGTTAAACATTTGAGTTTTATAATTTTTGAAAAAAAATTAAATTAATCTTTAAACAATAAAAAATGAAAAAAAACAATTCTTTATGAATCTCTAAAACTTGATGGGTTGACCAGGGATCCTTCCCACTTTATCAAAGCTACTCTTTGCTCCCTTGTTTGATCAGCCTACTTTGTTGAAAGTCCAAATTTTATTAAACTAAGTTTTGATCGTTACAAGTTGAGATTATGTAAATTAGAATTTAATCAACACAATAAATTAATTACTTTCGGTTCCTTGAAATCCAATTGATAAAATTTGTATTAGTATTTATTTTCATTTTTAACCTTTTTAAATTATGCCCAATAGCACATAATTTTGTGTCTTATTGTTAGAACTTAGAACACGCATCTATTCGTTCTCCTAGAAGAGAGGCCTCTCTAGTGTTTGTATTTGTTATTGGGTTTGTCCTTGTACACGTGCGTGTTAGATGGGGAACACGTGTTAAAGTATGTTAATTGAATGCTCCATCAAGTTGGTGCGTTCGTAAACAAAGTAATGCAAGTAATTCTTTTGAGTTACGTGGGAATCAATTTAGATTTGGGGAAGATTCTCTTCAGAAGGGTAATTTCGTCATTTAGACAGAATCTCTCTAGATTCTTCTTAACCATTATTTTTTCAATTAACCTTGGTATATTCACAGAATATCCGAAAAGATTGGATTAATTTATTCCTATTGAGTCAGAAGAAAATATAATAATTTTGTTTTTAGTAATGTTTGGGATATTTTTACTTTTGAAAATCATAATATATATATATTTATTTTATTCAATATACTTGTAATTGTTATTTTGTAAATATTTTTCTTTAATCAATTTGTAACAACTTTTTAGTGTTCATCATTTTTATTCAATTAAGTTTTCTGTGTTAGATTATGAAAATAAGTAAGAAAGAAAAAATTCAATTTAGAATATTATACAAGTAAATGTACTTAAAAATTGGGTGTTGAAAATATTTTTTTAAGCCTTTTATTTTAACGTGTATCTCATGCTACATAGTACATACATACCTTTACGAAAAAAAATTCAATCTTATAACAATTTAAGCAATTACCATGAATGCAAAGGATCGTGTCGTTTTAACTTAAATTTTTTCTTTAATTGTCTCAATGCAATGTCAAAGGTAATATTTATTTTCAGTCTTTATATAAATAAAACAAGAAAACCAAAATACTTAAGAAGTAAATTACAGAAATACCCTTAGGCTTTTCAATTCAGAAATGTCGATTTCATGTCAACTTGCCAACTCTCTCTTTGTGGTCCATAAACATTTTAACTCAATGCTGTTTAATATGAATGGTACCTTCTCTGTACTGCTAGCGGAAAATATTTATTAGTTTAATATATTTTAATAATTTAGAGATATCGGAACTGCCCATATCATAGGTTATATTATATTTTATAATAATATAATAAGCTTGATACTGATACACGCACAGAGACTACTGTAGCGTGACCCAGATGAAACTCAACTGTGGAGTTAAAAATTAAATTAAATTAATTATTTAAACCTAACCAATTGAGAGTGAGTTATGAGGTTCACGGGTGGAAGTAGCAGACTGGGAGAGTTTTTCAGAGAGCAAGTCAATGCATTTATATTTTAGGGATTATTTTGACCCTCCCCTTAGGTTATGTTAAATAACATGTTCCCCCCTCTACTAATTAATATAACAACCATTACGGGCATTAGCCATGAAGGATTGGTTTGATGGTCAGGGTTTTGATTGGTTGGAATAAGGTTTCAAGTCCAAGCCGCTCCATGGGCATCTGTATGGTTAAAAGTCATTGTTTTCTGTTTCCCAAAAATTATAAGATTTGACAAGAGTTACAGTTTTGAATTAAATTGTCAAGGTCCCGTTTCTCAAATATAGATTATAAGATTTGACAAGGGTTATAGTTTTGAATTAAATTGTCACGAGTTCTCGTTTCTCAAATATTGTATTAAACTCAGGAGTTTCCATTTCTTAAATATTGTAGGATTTGATAGGAGTTTTGGTTTCAATCTTAAACTTATAAAGCAAGTTTGGAGGATTTTTAGGTCATAACAAAAAAAAAAAAAAAAAAAAAATACGATTGATGTATTAGAAAATAACCTAATGTCTACAAAACTAATTGATATTTTGATTTCATAACATATGATGTTTGATTTACCTATATAGTAAAAACTTCAATTCTTAAATCTTTTGTAAAACCCTTTTAAACTATGTTGATGCAACGATTCGCATTAACAAGAAGTATGCAGGATTCTAGACAAATTTGCGTAGGAGCATGTTTAAGACTTGAAGGTTTGATACATAAATAATGAATGTAAAGACGAACAAAAGAACAGAAAAAAAAAATAAAAAAAATAAAGATTTTTAAAGTGGTTCATATATTAAAAGCAAATACTTCATCTACTGTTATGTTATTGTACTTGTTACATAATGAGCTCACTACAATGTATTTATTATGAGTATTCTTTAACCTAATTTTGTGACGGCCACCAAAACTAATTATAAGGGGGTTTATGTAGGACCAATTACATGTTTGAATTGGAAATAAATATTAAATCTGTTAGAATAGGAGAATAGTACGATCTTCAACTCACACTCGGGAATCTATATCACCAATATTGCTTTACCATAGTAGGAATTATCTTTTCCTAACTTGTCGTTCCACTAATTGGAAACAAAACCAAACTTGATACATTAGGCGATGCAATCTTTTGCCTTGATTCACGAAATATATATTTCGTGCCAAATTAGGATGTATTCTTTATGGATTTTCCGCACATCATTAAATGATTTAGACACGTGACACAAATCTGTGCTTCATAATTTGACGCCCAACAAATTAAGTCATTACTAATTTATTTACAAAATAGATTAATAATTTATATGTAATTTATTTTTGCATAGAATGTGCCCATTCATTACTCATTAGTCATTAGGCATTACATTAGGGACCACTTTGCAAACGTACACTAACATTAAGGTACTTGCCTTATTTCGATTACTTCGAGGGGGGAAAATGTTATTGAAGCAAGGATTAAATTAAAATAATAAGCTAACATAAATTACTTATTACTTAAAAAAAATTAAACTAATTAATTAATAAAAATAAATTTGAACAAGTTAAAAGTAATTAACTAAAAAAATTACTATATTTAAAAAAGAAAATCTCAAAGATCTATAAAATAATTAATTTAATTTAATTTTGATTTCCTTTCCCAACAAGCTGTAAACGGGTCATGAGTAATAATGACCCCAACAACCTTGTAGAGCCAAAAAGGCCAAAACAAAATTAATTAACTTGTAATTAAATTCTAAAATATCTCAGCTAACCTCAATTAATGAGTCAAACTCTCAAACGGATAAAACAATCCCAAGCGTCTTGTCAGAACCGGTGTCGTTTTCTCCAAATGGACACACTCCTCATATTTCTCCTCGTGCTCCCACCGGCTATTCCCGGTAACCTTCTCTCCTCTCTTTCTCTTACAACATTTTTGATTCAGATGAATGACAGTTTTATTTTCTTTCCCTCTCTCTCACTATAAATACAACCACTTCTCAACATGTACTCTTTTTCTCTCTTCTTCCTCTTCTCTCTCTTATTACCGTTTTCCCCCTTCGTCCCCTCTCTTTCGCCGACCGTTTTCCGGCAAATCCGCCGGCGATTTCGTGCACCGCCGGTCGTCAAACTCTCTTGCTCCTTCTTCTTCATCTTCTTCGCGCTCTCAGGTTCGGCTTGTTGTTCTCCCTCGTTTTCTAGTCTCTCCTTTGAAGCTTCAGATCTGGCTCAATTTTCTTCTTTCTTGAAAATTCTTAATTTTAGATCTTGATCTGATTTTTGTAAATTTTTTTGTTTCTTTATTTTTTTTATGTTATGCGTGTTTTGTTAAGACGAAAAGATGAAGAAATTATATGGTGAAAGAGAAAATTCCGATTCCAGATAGGACAAATGGAAAAGTTACATCAGCTTAAAAATCATTTAATATTTTATTCTTGTTTTTTATTTATATTAAAGTTTGCTAGAGAAATACAGATTTCTTATCTTTTTTGGCTTTCGTGTTTTGTTGAAGACTTGCTGATAGAGGAGACTAATAGTGCTATAAATAGAAGAAGATTTCAATATTTCTAAAAATAGCTTTTTATTTTTTACTTTGTATGTATATTAGGTTGCAAATTTTATCAAGTGTTTGTTGTTGAATTGTTTGATTTATCATTTATATGAGAGTTGCTTGCAGGAAGCATAGTTTGAAATGGAGGGATTGGGACTGAAAAATGTGAGTTCGCATTGTTCAATATCTGAAATGGACGACTATGATCTGTCGCGCCTTCTTGATAAGCCAAGGCTGAACATTGAGAGGCAGAGATCGTTCGATGAGAGGTCGCTTAGCGAGCTTTCCATTGGCTTGGCACGTGGAGGCATTGACAATTATGAGAGCACTTACTCGCCCGGTGGCCGGTCAGTGGTGGACACGCCGTTGTCCTCTACTAGGAACTCGTTTGAGCCCCATCCAATGGTAGCCGAGGCCTGGGAGGCTCTTAGAAGGTCCCTCGTGCATTTCAGGGATCAGCCTGTTGGTACCATTGCAGCATATGATCATGCCTCCGAAGAGGTTTTGAATTATGATCAGGTAGGATTTTGATTATTTTTTGCGTTGGGGTTTGTGTAAATATGCCATCTTTTGTGAAATTACTTAGAGAAATTTCTAGAACTGATAATTATGAATTTTGAATTACGGCAAAGTAAGAAAAGAAGGGATTAAATTGCATAGTTTGTTTTATTACTCCTCTTAAGGAGATTATGAAATTTTATAATGTTTTGAATGGTTTGATTTGGGGTGAGTTAAAAAATATATGTCCAAGTAAATGATACTGAAACTTTTTTTAGTTTAAATTTGATATTTCTTTTTGTTTAAAATCTGACACGTTCCATCTTTGAGAAAATACGGAGAGGTTTTCATAGAATTGATAACCATGATCTGAGTTCAAGGAGTCATATTATGGAAACCATTATACTTTGAAGGCTGATGTATTGAAGAATATATACGTTGGAAACTTTGAGTGAAGTCAAAGGGTGTGTTAATTATGACAAAGCGAAAAATAAATTTGGAACTACACCAATATAAGAAAAAGAGAGGGGTTGAATTCAATAGTTTATTCCCCTTATATTTTGGGGATAATAAAATTTTATAAGTTTAAAAATATTTGTCCAAGTAAATAATATTGGAACTTTTTTAGTTTAAAATTGATATTGGTTTTTATTTAGGTTTTTGTACGAGATTTTGTGCCCAGTGCTCTGGCATTTTTGATGAACGGTGAGCCTGATATAGTGAAGAACTTCCTTTTGAAGACTCTGCAACTTCAAGGATGGGAAAAAAGAATAGACCGATTTAAGCTTGGGGAAGGTGCAATGCCAGCTAGCTTCAAAGTTCTTCATGATCCGGTTCGGAAAACAGATACTATTGTTGCAGATTTTGGTGAGAGCGCAATTGGAAGAGTTGCTCCAGTTGACTCTGGTTTCTGGTGGATTATTCTGCTTCGTGCATATACAAAGTCAACTGGGGATTTATCTTTAGCTGAGACACCAGAGTGTCAAAAGGGAATGAAGCTGATATTGACACTCTGTTTGTCAGAAGGGTTTGATACATTCCCGACGCTGCTTTGTGCTGATGGATGCTCAATGATCGATCGAAGAATGGTAAGCTTCCATCATGATCTTATTTAGCTTTTTGTGAACTGTGCATGTGGTTGATCTTTTATAGCTGTTGTTGGATCAAATAATATTTTGTCTGGGATATTATTGAATTTGTTTGCGTATCAATTTTGTGTAAGTGGGAACTGTTGAACTTGTATAAAGATTTACTTTGAGTTGCTTTATGACCATGCTTGCTGATGTGAGTGCTTGGTTTGATTCAAATATATGGACAGTTTAAAGCAACCAATGATCTTGTTACTGTGAAAATATCAAGGAGACGCTCATTCTTATTTATAATGTCTTAATAGTAAGACCAAGTATTAAACACTTATGGTATAAGTACTCCATTCTGAATAATTAAACCCTTGTTTTGTTTTTGTTTTTGGATGAATGACAGTTATCATAGATTATGAGCACTAAATTCATGTGACCTAAAACAGGATTGTGCTGTTTATTGCCCCTGATGTGAGATTTACTCCTCTAATCACATCACTAGGATTCTACCTATCAGAGGACTGGAGACTTCTTATCTTGTCCCTGAAATATGTCTTGGACTTGATCCTTGTGAATTGAAGGAAAGCTAAATTAATATGCATTTGGCTGGATAAATTTTGCATTTATGTTCTTTCATTTTGTTTTCTTAGTCTTAGTTATTCTACTCTTTGGTCCTGCACCTCTGTGCTTGGCTATTTAACATGTGAACTTGCATTTCATCATGAGTGGGGATGGGGTAAGGGAACTTTTCAATGCGAATAAAGGATCAAACAGTTTACTTTCAAACACTTTCAAGGGGTCAACATAAAATTTAAAACATTATGGGGCCCTATTGTCAGCTTTATTGCTAATTTTCAAAAGATTTACAATAAATGCTTATGTGAAGGAAAATGTAAATGTCTCTTCAAATTGCAACCTTTAATTCAACAACCGTTACTTAAAACTTACAGGTTTCACCTATCCCCATGACTCCAACAATATTTGTATAATTTGCAATTCATTGACTTTTTCTCGTTCTGTAAATCAGTAATGTTGTTACTGCAGGTCTTTTGGCTCATAACTATCAACTGTCATGATGACATTCAACTTTTTTATTCTTATATTTTTCATTATAAACATTTCTTAATATGTTTCCCATCAGCATTGTATTTTTAAAAATATTTCTTATTGTTTTTCTTTCTCATTATATTTATAATTTCAAATTGTCAGTAATTGTATGCAAGAAATCTTATATGCTTTTAAAACAATGTCAGTTTTTCTTCAATTAACACATAGTTTTCTTGTGTTATACTGTCCAATTGATGCAGAAATATTAATGCTTGTCATCATTATTAAAATGAGTTAAAAAATGAACATAATATTCATAAGAATAAACCACAATGTTCTGCTCATATTTGCCTTAAAGCCATTTATTTAAGTAAACTATTTAAGTGTTGTTGCCATGTTTAACTTCCTCATAACAAAGATTATACAGAAGCTAAATTATTATATACTATTGTTGACATTCTAGTTTGTTGTAAAGAGAAAGAATTAATGTGCTTACCATTATCTCTTATGTTATTTAACTTTTAGCTATAACTCTTGCTTTTTCAGTATTATTGGATTCTCATCTTTTTCAAGTTTCAACTGGTTTTATTCTTTTCTAAAGTTTTTAATTTCTTAAATTCATTTTGCAGGGTATTTATGGTTATCCTATTGAAATTCAAGCACTTTTCTTTATGGCACTAAGATGCGCTTTGTCACTGTTGAAACATGATGCTGAAGGGAAAGAATGTATTGAGAGAATTGTAAAACGTTTGCATGCCTTGAGTTATCATATGAGAAGTTACTTCTGGCTTGACTTTCAACAGCTAAACGACATATACAGATATAAAACAGAGGAATACTCTCACACAGCAGTAAATAAATTTAATGTTATACCTGATTCAATCCCTGAGTGGGTTTTTGACTTTATGCCAACACGTGGTGGCTACTTCATCGGGAATGTGAGTCCTGCAAGGATGGATTTCCGATGGTTCGCTTTGGGTAACTGTGTTGCGATTCTAGCTTCGCTTTCAACTCCCGAACAATCAATGGCGATTATGGATCTTATTGAAGCTCGCTGGGAGGAGCTGGTTGGTGAGATGCCATTAAAAATAACTTATCCTGCTATAGAAAGTCACGAGTGGCGGATAGTAACTGGTTGTGACCCCAAGAATACTAGATGGAGTTACCATAACGGAGGTTCTTGGCCAGGTCTGTTTCTTCCTCATTGATGTATTTAAGTTGATAATTTACTATTGGGACAAGCACTTTTTGTATGATTACCAAGGTCCTGAGGACAGTTGTCATAGTTCCCTTTATTGTTTTTTGTGTTATAATTAGGTTACAGTTTGATGCCAGAATATGTTAAATTTAGGTGGATTTCTAAATAACTGTGAATCTGGTGAGTGAAGTATAATAGGGCTGACAGGCTTTCATAAACTGATTAGTTATGTTTGTTGGTTTAGATGATCTTGGTCCATAATTTTGTTGCAATAGTGAAGTTTCCTTACGAGCATAAAAACATGATAATATTTTTATGGTGCTTATTAACAAATGGAGAGAATGTTGGTATCATTATGTGAGACTTTTTTCTTTTTAATTATTTATTTTTGCTTTGACGCTAATCCCCATTTCAGAATAAGCTGTCTTAGACAGTAATGATAGTCTTAGCTAGACTAGTGCTAGATGTGTTCATTTTGGACCGTAAATGATGAAGTTGTTTGCTCTGGTTTCGTATTCTTTTGCCATTTCTTATCATTGACTCTTCTACCTTGTTTCCTTTTCCAAACTATTAATTGGCAAGCATCCCTAATTTTTCGTAGTAAAAAATTGTATTTGATGGTTGTAAATTTTTGTATCATTCTACAATAAAATTTTCTTCTTGTTTATCTTAAATGCAGTGCTTTTGTGGTTGCTAACGGCTGCTTGCATTAAGACGGGGCGACCACAAATTGCAAGACGAGCAATTGATCTTGCCGAGACCCGTTTGCTAAAAGATAGCTGGCCAGAATATTACGATGGGAAACTGGGGAGATATATTGGTAAACAAGCAAGGAAGCATCAGACGTGGTCTATTTCAGGATATTTGGTGGCAAAGATGATGCTGGAGGATCCGTCACACCTAGGAATGATTTCCCTGGAAGAAGACAAACAGATGAAACCGGTGATTAGAAGATCATCGTCCTGGACATGCTGAAAAGCGTAAGTGGGCAAGAGCAAATTTGCCGGAAAAAGGATAGCGAACAAAATGGAAATTTCAAAACTTCTAATTGAAAAAAGCCAGTATTCTTTAGGGTCCATCATCCTTCTAGGTCTGATTTTAAGAATTCGGTTTTTGTGTACAATAGGATCTGCTAAAGACCAGACCGGAGTCTTTGCTTATAAAATTAAAGATACATTTTGCTGTTTGTTTTTAAATATTAAAAGTGGCATTTATCTTGTGAATGCCATTGTTGTTAAGAAGTTTCATGAGCTTTCGGTGGCGAAAATGAAGCAAAAATTATGTTTCATTCCTAAAGACTTGAGTGGATAATTTTTTTTTATCCATGGACACTTTTGGGATTCACTTCGGTGTGTATCCTTTCTGTTTACCCGTATTGGGCAGCTAAAGTCATTTTTGTGTTTTATTTTCACTTCTAATTCTAATTCTAATATACTATTTTCCAAAACTGGAATAATGTTTATGTAATTCATTTTATTATTCCAAGTTTTATATAAAAATAATGTTACATTTCTTGCAATACAATCTCAAGTATAGGCTAAAATAAAAAAATTATCCATTGAAGTAGGAAGTCAGTATTGATGAAAGATGGAAACTGGGAAATAAAAAAAAAAAAGGTAAATAAGGAAGTCAAATACAAATAAGGTTCAAGGGATGATGCATAATTTGGATTGAAGAATTGCAGCACTTTTAATGTGATTTTCAAGTGGATGCACCATGCTGATGTTGGTAATATAAAGGGAAGTGATTTTTAGCACCGTTATTAAATTTACCTCTATTTTTTTTTTTTTTTTTTAAGTTTCTTAATATTTGGGTAGTCAAGTGGTTCGATAGACATTCTTAGGTATATACTCAAAAGGTCTTTAGTTGAATCCTCTTCAGTTGCTAATAGGGGGGCCACTGAGTTTTATCGATTGGAATTAGAGTCCCAATGAATAATAGGTAACGTAGTTAGCCCCCACTAGTCATAACAAAAGTCTCTTAACCTATTTAATACGAAAATAATCATACTTAACTAGGGTTTTGTTTGCACTTCTTTTCTCCAATTTCAACTTAATATGGTTTTTGTATATACCATTTTTCCTTAATTACAAAATTAATAGGGTCTTCCCAATTTCTTAATTAGGTTTTTTTGTTAATACCCTTTTTTTCTAATTTTAAATTCAAAACTTATTTTGTCTTCTTCATATATATTCATCATGTTGTGTGATTATTTCTTCATAACTTAGCAATATATTTCATTAACAAAGAAATATTTAAAAAAAAATTCAATGATTTAAAAGATTCAGAGTTAGGGTTTATGTTAAGATAAAAGAAAAATATAAAATAGAGTATAAGTGTATTTAGAAATTATATTTTAATAGTTTTCTTAAGGTTAAAAGGGGCTAAAAATCACTTCCCGAATATAAGATATCAATAAAGTATAATTATTCTTATTAGACTTTTTTTTTTTTTTTTTTTTTTTTTACTTTTACAAAGACCCTAAATCCTAATAGGTATATATAATCCTTTTCAATAAAGTAGATAAAATGAAATCCCTAATATATACTGAAAAGAAATTAGAATTGGGCCGGGCCATTGAAACTTATTGGGTCCAATAGGATAAGTGGCCTAATAAATCTATAAAAATGGATTCAATTCTTACTCACCCATTACCGTAAGTAGCTTTGGAAAAAGGAAATGGCGTCTGTAATATCTTGTTCATCTTCTTCCCCTGTCTCGTTTGGATTACCCCAAACTCGCTTAACTGATTCAGATAAAATTAAACTTACTTCTCTTTCATGCCTCTCTTCATTTCCCACTCTCAATATCTCCGTCAAATCCCCATCTCCCACTCTCTCCAACAACAACAAGGTATCTCGTTTTTCTCACCATTTCTCCATTTAGTTCATTCTTCTGAACTCAAGTTTTGTTTGTTTATTTATTTTATTTTTCTTTCAAAAAGAACTATTATGAATACCAACTTTGTGCTGGATTTAAGCTATGTTTACAAGTCGTATGAAAAACTCTGTCCCCGCTTGGTTAATGGGGTTAGTTAGAGCTTGTTGATGTGGAAGAATTTATGAGATTTTGGGTAAATAGATGAGCTTTGGGGCTCTTCAAATGAGGACAAATTAGATATAGAATTTAATTTCAGAATGCCCAAAAAGAGTGCTCTTGTATGGTTCAGTTTGTTGGGTTTTTTTAAGATTTTATTTTGTGGGAATTTGGTTTTGGAAGGAGAGGCAGTTGTGAAACAGCTTTTGCTTGCTTCGGATTCACGATATTGTAATTGCTCTGTTTATCTTTTTTGAACACCCTTGCTTGAACTTATTCATGCTTTACAAGAAGTTCTTTATTTATTTATTTTTAAATATCATTTATATGTGGGATATGCAGTAATGCGCCTAATTTAGGCTTTGAAATCTTCGAACAATGCATACAAAATTTACTATTGGTTAGAAAACTTGGAGCTTTGATCTCCATATATAGAACTTATTATTTTAGTCATTGTGTTCCAAAAGATTTCATTGTGCACCTTCATGGCCATCAAAAACCATTCTTGATGTCTAGTTTGACATAAGTACTTTCCTTGATTCTTGTGATTGTTTACTCGGAGGATAATAATTTTTGTGATTGAATTTTGCATAAATGGCATGGTTGTTGATTCCAAAAAGAACAATTTACAATATGGTTTTGGTTGATTATTTTCTGAATAGTTGTGAACCTATATTCCTCAGTTTATACTTATAAATAGTTCCCATGTCTAGGCATCAAAACTAGAGTAGTCCTCTCTTTCTTTGAAATTTCCACTTTTTGGTGATGGCAGGATTTGATTCTAGGTTTCCTGTTATGATGCCAAGAGACCTTACCAGTAGGATAGTTGGGACCTTCCAACAATAAGTTATTTACTAATCTTTGCTGAATGAGGGATGAGAATTGACTAATGCTTATATATGCAATTTCTTTCAGGGTTCTTTTATTCAGGCTGCCTGGACCCGAAGATCTCGGGGTGAACTTGAAAAGAGACCCAACCGGAAATCATGGAAGCAAAGGACAGATATGTATATGAGGCCATTTTTACTTAATGTTTTCTTTTCTAAGAAATTTATTCATGCAAAGGTGATGCATCGGGCAACAAGCAAAGTGATATCAGTTGCTACCACTAACTCCAAGGATCTCAGGAACACTTTACCATCTCTAACTGATCATAATGCATGTAGAATCATAGGGAAGCTAATTGCTGAGCGATCAAAGGATGCTGATGTATATGCAATAGCATATGAGCCTAGAAAGGATGAGCGGATTGAAGGTAAGCTTGGGATTGTTCTTGATACCATTAAGGAGAATGGTATCATATTTGTTTAAGCAAATTCCTGATCATTGTTTCACACCTAGTAAATGAAAATTGAATCACAAACATGGATCGGTTCCCCAATGCATTTTATGCAGAAAATTGTTTGTAGAATTTCTGGTGATTTTTTATATTATTCTTTTTAAGCTTGTACTAGGATTTTTAGCTCTTCAAATGATATGGGGCTGTACAAAGACCACTTCAGGAACTCTATGATTAGATTATATGTATCCATATGATGTTTCAGTATTCCTCTCTCATCTTTTGTGATGGTTGTCAAAAAACTTCCTAAATTAACTTCAAATCTAGAAGGATGCATTATTGTAGTCACATCATGTATCTGTAGGACTTGTAAATTTCTTGTTCAAAGTGTCTAAATGGGGTTTTATTGCAGGATCAAATTTCGCTCCTATCTTATCTTACCTAAGCTTTTGAAGATTTCATGACAAGCTATAGTTATTAGATTCTATGACCCATATTTGTCGACTGAGAATCTTCCCATTTCTTTTTACTTGATTCTTATTCATAATTTTTAAAAGCTCTCTCTTGGTGTTTGGTCTTCTTAAATTATGAACAACTTTAACTTCTTCAACATAATATACCTAAATTTTTGTCTAGTTTGAACTTGCTTTGTTACTTTTCCTTTTCTTGAAATTGTATGAACTGTAACTGTATGATCTGGATCCAAATTCATATTGCAGACCACCATTAAATTATTGAATGTTGACATGGTTTCAAAAAAAAAAAAAAATTGACTCCTAATTTCGTTTAAAATGATCGGCTTTGTTTGTTACTTGTAATTAGTCTAGAAGTAATTTCAGGGACTAAGTTTTAGTTCCATATTTTGCGTTCATTTTATGATAGGATTAATAGTTTTTGGGACAAATTTAGTTTCAAATTCCAAAGGATTGGGAAATGGTAGAACTACTTGTCGAAGATGTTAGATTGATTTAATTATATTTTAAATATTACTTTAGACTACCAGAAGAAAAGCCTCGGACTCGGACAAACATCTCTAGCAATGCCTTGTGTAACAAATCCCACACTGGAAGCGTATTGGGGAGGTCTTGGGCTTATAAATGGGGGGAGTCCCTCCACCTAACAGGTTAGCCTTTTGGGTATGAAACTCCCAGCCCGTGACAAGTGGTATCAGAGCAAACCCAATCCGTCTTTCGATGTCCCACTAAGCACCCACGCAGGGACGTCCACGTGTGATTGTGGGTCCACACGAGAGTGAGGTGGACGGATAGACAGGGGGTCCCACCTGTGACGAGGGCGTCACAGGATTGGGTGGGGGAGAATGTAACAAATCCCACACTGGAAGCGTATTGGGGAGTTCTTGGGCTTATAAATGGGGGGAGTCCCTCCACCTAACAGGTTAGCCTTTTGGGTGTGAAACTCCCAGCCCGTGACACTTGGCAGTGCTTAATTCTTCATCCTGATCAGAACCTTAGTACAACCGTAACCTATAGGAAATGCAACTCACTGATAAGGCAACAGGATTACAGGACTGCAGTGCAAATTTTAAAAATATGATGAAAAACAACAGTAAATATCAGAGCATCTCTCCATTGCAGGGGATCAATGCACTATTTTGTTATAAAACAAAATGCATAACAAATGCATGACAAGCATTATTTGAGCCCAACATTTGACATTATTATTAAATGCAATATAAGAATTCCTATTCAACATTTACGAATGGAAAAAAAATAGGAGCAGAGCGAAGAAAAAGGAAACCCTTGAAATTGTAGTATTGTCATCAACTCAAATTCGTAACAACAATCAGCAATAGATGCATTTCCAAGTTGTTTCTATTATTGCAACCAAGAAACTAAAACATCATCACTCAGCCAGAAGCGGTCTTTTTCTGCTGGAAAATGACAGCATAAATGGGAACGCCAACACCAATGCTGAAGGCAGTGAAAACACCTAGAGACATCTTCAGCGCTTGATGTTTCATCCTATCCAAGTTATACATATGCTTTGAATGTAGGTAGTATGGTTCATCATGTCCATGTCCTCCCATTCTCTTCACCCCAGTTGAGTGGAAACCCCGGTTCACTGTCAATACAGACCTTAATTCAGGCAGGTTCACACATCATAGTATACCAGAAACATAATCTAACATGGAAGACAAGCATAGTTTTGATTTAAAGCACTAATGCTTCTTAAAGGTGATTTTGAAATTGTACATTTTCTACTAGTTTAGCTTGAGTATTCTGTTTTAAGTTTCAAAATATATCTAACAAGCGGCCTTAAAATGACAACTACAGGTACCCACGTGAACAATTTGCTCTTCTCTCTATTCTGTGGATCTTCCAATCACCAACAGAATCATGCTTCTTAATTTGGGATTGAATTATCCCAAATAGAATACTTATTTGAGCAATTTTATCTGGGTGCGCAAAAAATATAAAAAAAATAAAAGCTTTTGCGCAAGGTAATAAGCACAACCCTGAGAAAAAAGTCCTTAGGTCAAGGGTTTAGGATCAACAACCATATGACAAAATAAGCTATAGTGGCCATCACTAATCTTCATTTAGTACGATTTTGAATGCAAACTCATATAGCAAAAGAAACAAACATTTGCTGAAAATGGCAAGTTATGCCATGAAAATAACAACTTAAGAGTTATCTATCCCTATAAAATTAGCAATCATGCTAAACTTTGCAAACAAAGGACATTCAAAAATGATAAATTAATTCTTCTTCAAACTAAAAGTTCTTTCCCATCCACTTTTAGGTTGATGCAAAACCTTGAATCCAGGTTAGAAACAAGTCTTTGCAAAGAATCATTTGATATTAGCCACAGATATTTCCCATGTTTGAAATAAACAAACATACTGATGCAACTTCTTTTCTAAATTAGACAAATTCATATTGAAAAGAGGTTAACAATATGTTCTTTACAGAAAAGAAAAGAATTTAACCATTAAAAAGCTTGAACTTAACCAGAACACAAACACAAGCCCCTATATCTCTTCAGTCAAGCTTTAAAAGATTTTTGTAGAACCTGACTCAAGCTCAAGGGAGAAGACTAATATACAAACTAACCAGATTTGAGCAATAAAAAACCCAGCTTGTTTGCAGCCTCATGATAATAAAATCTGACATTATTAAGCATACATATTTTCACAATAACCAAGCATGACACTAAAATTGGTTTTAAATGGAAAAAAAAAGTATATGTTAAGAAAATAGTTTCTGATTTGAAAGAGAATGAAAATGAAAAAAGCAAGTTAATCTCGAAATTCATCAAACAACAGCTATCACAAAGAGCGCTAATTTGAATTTGAACTAATTAAATTGGAAAAAAAAAATCATTTTGTTCACCCAAAAAAAAAAAAAAAAGGCAAGAACCATTGATGCGCGCGAAAGGATAGCAACAGATACAAAGACATATAATGAAAAATAAAACACACATATAAACCAATACCGTAACAAAATTACATGAAAACTTTAAATCTAGGAAATGTTTGGCACACAAAATTAGACTCTATAGAACATTAAGTTACACTTGACACCAAAAATATGACTCAGAAACACATTTTCTAAGTACATCCACTATGAAACTCTCAAAGTTCAAACTTTTAACCCACATATTTTCATAATTCCAGCAAAAAAATATAATTTGATTAAGAAAAATCGTTTCAAATTTTTCAATCGGTTAAATCTTTATTCAATTGCAACGCAACGAGGGAACAAAATCCTCCAATAAGAAGATTCGAACATAACATTCCAACATCAAAATAAAATGAAGGCGAAACCCTAGGATTTATATCTGAATTGGAGGAATATATAGAAACCGATCGTGTAATGAAATTAGATCTAAAGAGTAAAGTGACCTGAGTTGGAGAGAACCGATTGAGAAGAGGAGATGAGCTTTGAGGCTGATCTGAGGCCATTGTTCAACGCCATGGATGGACGACGATGGATTTGTTTCAAAACAACCAAGACGTAAACAGATTATGTGTTCTCTCACAGTTAGGGCAGCGGATGTTATACTAGAAAGTTGCCAGAGGCCCAGAGCCCGCTATTGCACATGTGGTGGACCGCTTGTGTTTTGGGTCGAGCCCAATTTTTTTTGTTGTTTCGTCAGATTATTTTTGTATTAAAAAATAAAAATTATGCAAAGTGATTTTTAAACCCATTAGTATTCTCCACTTTTAAATGTATTTTTATTTTGACAATTTTAACTTTAATAACATAATAATTTCTAAACATGCTCGTTTATAATTTAATATTTCTGTTTTAATTTTAATTTTTTTTACTCTTACATACACCCTCAATTTAAAATTTCTAAATTATTAATTTTTTTCTATTTCAAAATATTATTTGTTTGATGAAAATATCCTGCCAAAGCTATTAAAAAAAAGTAATCACACAATAACACGAGTTTGAAGAATAACAAGTAAGTTTTATATTTGGAATTGGGAAAAAGGGGTGTAAACAAAACAGGGAAAAATGGTGTAAACAAATACCTTAATTAAATTTAAAATTAGGGGAAAATGATATAAACAAAAAACCTAATTAAGTTTAAAATTGGGGGAAATGGTGTGCAAATAAGGACCTATTTAAACCAAATTAAGTAGGGTTATTTTCGGTATTAAATGGGGTTTAAAGAGAATTTTTGGAAATATAATAGAGTTGTATTTAGTAATGAAGCTAGTGATCAATTAGATGGAGGCTGAAAATCACTACCCAAAATTATTGTTTGGTTTATATTTTATCACTCATTATGAAAAATTTAAAATCGAGGTCTTGTTCGATTTGCCGTTTAAAAAAAGTTAATTGCATTTACCCTTGAATATTAGGTTCGTTAGTTCAAGTCCCATAGTTTAAACTTGAAAGTACTAAATAAACTCGATTTTCAAATAGAAAATCCTCATAATCAACCGATTATGTAAAAATTAAATTCAAGAGAATGAGTATTTTAAACTGCAAGACCCAAAATAGTTTATTGAAACCTCAAGGTGAATAAAATCTTCCTCACGTTTGGACAAATAAAGATTAGGAATTTTGCTAGGGGCATTGTTGGACGAAACTAGAAATTAATTTTTGAGTGGATTAACAAAATTGTTAAAAATCCATAAGTTAATTGGTTTTTTTTAACCAAGAAATTATATTAATAAAAGAAGAAGACAGAAAACTTATTTTTTATTTGAATTTAAAAATTTATAAGGGGAAAGGACAAAAACAAGAAAAAGAGTGTATACTGCATTTATAAAAAAAATTTCAAAAAAATAATAGTTAAATGATAAAGATATATTTTTTTATAAAATAAAAATAAAAATATGAAATAAAAATGTTCCTTGTCCAAGAAGTTAATTACTGTGAGTGTATTTAGAAATGGGCTGGGGTTAATACAGGATTTTTGTAAAATATTATCCTGAACAAAATGGCCGAAAGCCTTTTCAAGTTTTGCCGCCAATCTCTCCGAGGGTTTTTCTCTAAAATCCTGAAAGAAGACCCCCTTGGTTTAATTTAATGGCTTCAACTACTAACACTAACAGTAATACTCCTCTACAGATCATCGATGAAGACGACGATGTAAGTTGAATTTCGCTTCTCTTTCTCTTTTCATTTTCAGTAAAGTGGGTGATAAATTAATTTTCTTTTAAAAAAAAATTGATTAGGAGTTTGATTGGGAAGCAGCTGTCCGAGAAATCGATGTGGCTTGTGAAATCAAAAAGCCTTTTACTTCAACTAATTTATGTTCTACGTCTAAGCAATCTACGCTCGATAAGTTTCTCGGAAAGGTTCAATTCAATCAACGTCGACAACAATTTAATGAGCCTGAGCCTGAGTCTGATGAGAAGATATGCTACGTTGATATTGATGCTGAGGCGGCTAAAACTTGGATATACCCGCGTTAGTCTGTTCAATTTTTTTTTTTTTATGTCAGAGTAGATTACTGTAGCAATCTAATTGAGTTTCACATTGCTAAGACTAGGCAATTGAATTTATAATGGGTACTATTTTCTGTAAAGCCAGTTTTTAATGCGTGTAACGATTGGCATCATAGATGCGGGGCGGGCCATCAGGGCGACTGAGGACTGCTAGCTAGTGTGTGCATAGACAGTTTTGAAAGAGTGGTGAAGTTTTAGTTTAGGAATGTGGGAGTGGGACTCAATTGGGTTGTGACAGGTAAAATTGATTAATTTATGGGTGATTGTTATTTCTTAATTATGTTTGTTTGTGTTGTGGCAGTTAATGTTCCTGTTCGAGATTACCAATTTGCTATAACAAAAAGGGCACTTTTTTCAAACACATTGGTGGCCTTGCCGACAGGCCTTGGGAAAACACTTATTGCTGCTGTTGTTATGTTTAACTACTTCAGATGGTTTCCGCATGGTAAGACTAACACTCTTCTATAAACCATTTCCTTTTTCAGTTTCATCTGTGAGGTTGGCTCCCAAAAATGCTAGGTATCCTACATTCTAAGTGATGTAATATTGATTTAATGTCACGTATGGATTTTGTGATTTTGTTGTCCATGATTTGTACTTCTGAATCATTTATCAGATGTCATCATTAATTAAATAAAAGGAAGATAGGAGGTTTAGGAGATTGAGGCCTTCAGTCACCAATTTGCAAATCCTATTTCCAAAGTTGGCTCAGATGTCGTCATTAATTAAATAAAAGGAAGATAGGAGGTTTGGGAGATTGAGGCCTTGAATCATAATTCTGCAAACCCTATTTCCGAAGTTGGCCGAAGAGAGTCCCAATGGTGAGTTTCAGCCTTACAATATGGTGTAGGAGGCTAAAGGTGCCCTTGAAATACAAGTTTTTGTTTAAGCTTTGGTCTATGATGTGTGGAAAAAGTGGAGACAATTCTTCTGTTCGTAGCCTTTACAATATGCTAGAAATTGTTTGTTTTGGATCTTGATTGCTATTTTGCACTGCAAGATTAACAGAGTTTTTCGAAACGAGTTTTGCTTATATGGGCAACGCTATTCATCATAAGCATCAAAAACTTCTCCTTCCTAGGCAATGTGATGTGTCACAATCACTCTCTCAAGACCTAAGCACTAGTCAATTCCTTTCTTAGTTGGTGGCTGATATTGAAATACTCAAAATCGAAAATCTAGTGTGCTGGTACTTATTTTTGCTCCACAATTCTGGTTGATGTCGTTTTCTGATTCCATAACAATGCATTGCCCACTAGTAAAGATTGAAATTTAGGTTCACATATCCTTTATGTCCGTTATAGACAGATTTTCCATTTCCCAAAGAAGGATATTGGATAATTTTGAAATAGCTTTAGATGGAGCCTTACATGTACTACGTCCCTGCAATGTGGATTTCTCTTGTTCAGTTGGAGGCTTCATCTATGATAAGACATCTGTTCTTGGTCTCTCTGTAACAGGGAAAATAGTGTTTGCTGCTCCTTCTAGACCTCTTGTCATGCAACAAATAGAAGCGTGCCATAATATTGTAGGGATACCACAGGTAAGATTCTTCTTTTTTTCTTTACACTGGAGTGACTTGCTCATTTATTTATTTTAATTGGGAAAATTACTTTATCAGAATCATTAATAGATTTGAGAAGATTCTGATCAAATGATTGCAGGAATGGGCAATTGATATGACCGGCCAGATAAGTCCTAGCAAAAGAGCTTGCTTTTGGAAAACTAAGCGAGTTTTCTTTGTTACTCCACAAGTGCTGGAGAAGGATATTCAATCTGGTGACTTTTTAACTTTTACATTAGTTTACTACATATATAGAAGATTATAAAATATGATACTCTTTTTTGTAAAATTAAATATCACCGTTGTGTTGTTTGTCCTATTACCACATTTTGCTCATTAAGGAAATTGTTTTAGGCACATGTTTGGTGAAATACCTGGTGTGTTTGGTTATTGATGAGGCTCATCGAGCACTTGGAAATTATGCATATTGTACGGCCATTCGTGAGGTTTGTTAGACCAAAATTTTCTGGTTTTTCTTAACTACTTTTGATTAAATTGTTCATGGTTGTTGGTTTAGAGATTTATCTTGGATGCATTTTCTGGCTCTTTATACTAGTGAATTTTTAAATTTGTAGTTAATGTCGGTGCCAATGCAGCTGAGAATACTGGCTTTGACTGCAACACCAGGGTGTAAGTACAATTATGTATTTGATTTTTGTGAGTTTTCTATATATTAAATCCTAAATGTTAAATGTGGTTATTTAGCGAAGCAGCAGACTATTCAGCATATTATTGATAACTTACATATATCAACACTAGAATATCGCAATGAAAGTGATGATGATGTCAGCCCATATGTTCACAACAGGAAGACAGAACTGATTCAGGTATATACTGGTTTTTTTACCTAAAAAGTGTTACCATGCAACTATGTTTTCTAAATGTGCTGTACTGATAGGTTCCAATGGGACAAGAGGCTGCAGAGATAAATAATCTGATGTTGGACATAATACGCCCTTATGTGAATAGGCTTTCCTCAATTGGACTTCTTCAGAATAGAGACTACCGAACTGTATGGTTCTGTATCTTCTGAATTCCTTCAGTGTTTATTTTGACAGTAAACTCTATTACATTAATGTGTTTAAATGTTGCTTACTGTTCCATTTTGTCATATTCTTTACATTTCATTAAATTTAGTTCTTGGAAGTTTTATTACAGTTCAAGGTACTCTTTAATTCTTAATAAAGTGTAATTGGAAAATCTTATTGAAATGCATCTTATCCTTGTGCATCTTCACCATTTGAGTTGATGTATATGTACATTGGTATAAAATTTTTCAGGTTTCTTTAAAATTATTGTGTAAATTGCTTTGGGTGCTATTTTATTTTGGGTGATTCCTAAATATAGTGCTTCATTGTTTATTAAGGATTTTTGTGAATTCGAGGTAGAAAAGCTGTTGGTTGTGACTTGTGAGTGATGACTGTTTTTTAGGTTATTTGACTAGAAGGCAATAAGACGAGTTTTGATTAAGGTAATGAGTAAGTGGTTGAATTTTGATGGGGATAAGGCTAATTTTCTTGCTTCTCTTGAGGGCTTCAGTTTTTACAGGGTTCAAGGATAATCCATTCTTTTTATAAAGGAGAATTGGGGAGTTATTAATTAATTGATTTGTATTTCGTAACTCTATATTTTATTTTTTGGATTGCTGGTTTTCTCCTTTCTAACTCTCCGTTTTTCAATAAAGTTACATGTTCACTATCAGAGAAAAAAAATAAAAGAAGGTGAACCTACAGTGATATTTCATTGGATAACAACAGCCCTGGAACTACTCTTTATTGTTATATTAGATGATTGCTTCCCGTAAGAGGATAAAGATCAAACTTTAATGTTGGTGAGCGACAGTGGTTTTCTGTGAGAACTATCTTTTGTAAACTGGATGATTCTGGATATCTGAAAATCTTTTGACTATACCAATCTCTGATCCTGAAAGGGACCCTTGAAAAAGCAGTTGGCATTTGTCTTACAAGGTTGATAAATTTGGAAGCATGTCTGATGAATGCTAAAAATTCAATCTATTTGATGATATTTGATGGTAGCTCCCAGTTCCTTGAATAATATCATTTCTGATCTTTGATTTATACCTTTAGATGCTGAAAAGAATAGAAAATAGAGCTAGCAAATTCAATGGCATGTCCAATTCCTTAGTGAAACTTCTAAAGTATATTTTACAGTATTATATGGTACTTATTTCGGCATTTTCTCAGTTTACCATTTCAAGCCATTTTGGATTTCTGATTTTAATCAATTTCAAGATGTTGTGTTGCATCATTATTGTTACACTACTTTCCTGAAAAACGTTACTTTGACCAAAGATGTTATTTGAAACTTTATCTTGGCTGCTTAATAAGACCTTAAAATATATAAAAAATTTCCTGCTATGATTTTGGGCTCTGATGCTATTTGATCTCTTTCTTGTTGTACTCTGTGAAATCATACTTTCTCTGTTTTTCTTACTTACATTTCATTTTGGCATTGGACAGTTGAGCCCAGTTGATTTACTCAACTCTAGGGACAAATTTCGCCAAGCACCTCCCCCAACCCTTCCCCACATTAAATGTGGTGAAGTAGAAACTTATTTTGGAGCTCTTATTACTCTCTATCACATACGTAGGCTGCTTTCAAGCCATGGAATAAGACCGGCATATGAGATGCTAGAAGAAAAGTTGCAACAGGGGTACGTTCTTCTGCGCCCTCCATTTAGACGTTAGGAGGCTGCCTTCAAGTGATAGGAGGGTACTGTCCTTATCAGTAAAAACATATTTCAGTAACTGTGCGTCCTTTAGGTATTATTTCATTTGAATAGAGCCTTTAACTTGCTCTTAGTGTATTGTAAAGCTGTTTAACTGTCAAATTAAGCTGAATACCAGAAGAATATGTTGTCTAGCTTTAGATTGAAACTCCTAAGTATGTTGGAATAGAGCCTAAATTGTTTTCTTATCTGGAGTCAGACAAATTCAGAGGAATATGACATGATGGTAGAAACTCCAAACAGTAAATATTTCAATTTTAGATTTTAAATTTTGAATCTTTTATTTAATTTTAGAGTCATACCATCCATTGACCAGCACTAGATTTCATTGTACAATGAGTTGACAGTAACATTAATATTTGATTTGAAAAGAAATACTCAAAACTGTTAATCGAGTTTGGGCTTCTGATGGGGATACTTAGTAGTTTTGTCTCCACTGTATTAAACGCTGATAATGTAAACATGCTAATGCAGTTTCAAACAGCATTTTTAAGTGTCTGAACTTAACTATTGCAGGTCATTTGCAAGACTTATGAGTAAAAATGAAGTTATTCGGAAAGTAAAGCTCTTAATGCAGCAAACTTTATCTCATGGTGCACCAAGTCCCAAATTGTCAAAAATGTTGGAAGTACTGGTTGATCATTTCAGTATGTAACATGTCACTTCCTCTTACTTCCATGGACATATTTTTGATTCACATGACCAATTTAATTTTTCCTTTGTGCTGCTGCTCAATGCTGGTATTATTTTTTTTTTATTATATTGAGAAATTCAATTTGAATACCATTTATTTATTCCAGATATGTTAACAAAACAACTTTAATATGCGAATTGGCTTTTATTATTATTATTATTATACTTGTTCATTTATTTCATTTTGTTAAAAAAAAGGGGGGGCTGTTTTTGTAAAGATTTCACTTAAAGAATGATAGGACTTCTCATTCTTTACAACAAAATTTGTTTGCAATTGTCTTAATACAAATTTCTGTAGGTTCACTGTTCAATGGAATATTCAGATTACTTCTCAATCCTACTGATTGTGGTGCTTTCTTTCATTTTCAATTGGCCATGGTTGTTTCTTTGTTGTCAGCACTCACCAGTTGGCTCTCGTAAATCTTAACATTTCATTTTCTTTATAGTCAAACTAAAAAGGTTTGACCTTAATTTTCATTCAGTTGTTACTTTGATGGGAGGTTTTGTTTTGACCTATGGTTTGCATCTAAAAGCTTGAAGAAGTCAAATTTCATCTCTATTATGACTCAAGAAATTATATAAGTAATTATGGCATGTCTTGCAACAACCTTGCTTACCAGTTGTTTGACCAACCAGTTCCAGATAATTTTCAGAAAAATTAGCATCTCAAGGCTTCCACTAACTCCCATTTCTTAATTTGTCATTAAACAGTTCTGTCAAGCATCAACCAAAATTTCATTATTGTTAATTTTTAATCCGAAGACATGATTGCTTCTTAATCAAGTTTTCTGCATTATTGTTGATTTTCTATTTTCTTGGCGTATTCTTGAGTTTGATTGTAAACAATGCAGAACTTTGTTTCAATCTTCATCCTGTGAATTATGTTTACCGTTATAATTAATCAGTGTATTGAAGTTTTTGTCTCAGCTCCTAATATTAAGTATGATTGAAAATGATTGAGAAATATGTGGTTGCAGAAACAAAGGATCCAAAGTGTTCAAGGGTTATCATTTTCTCTAATTTTAGAGGAAGTGTCAGGTGCAAAAAGATTTCTTTAACTCAATCTGTTTCTGATGCTTGTTGCATGATGGCTGAAATTAGGAAAACTTTCTTTGGCCTAATAATTACTCATGTTTCAGGGACATAATGAATGCATTAGCAAACAACATTGGTGATTTAGTTAAAGCAACTGAATTTATTGGTCAAAGCTCAGGTTAGTCAGTTAGTATTTTGGCACCTTTACTCTCTTCCCATAATAGCAACTTCCGTTGTTTCTTTTCCTGGTAAGAAACCTGAGAAGTGATTTCTGTTTTTCTGAAATCTATAAACATTAACAGTAGAAAAAATGTTGTTTTTGTAAAATTCCTTTCCTTCGGAATATATCTGTTAATCATGTTTCATACAGGAAAAGCACTGAAAGGCCAGTCACAAAAAGTCCAACAGGCTGTTCTGGAGGTAGCTATGCTACTGTGTATTGATTTTTTTTAGCTTCTTCTGCTGGCTTACTTTATGCACTTGCAGAAATTTCGGGCTGGTGGATACAATGTCATCGTAGCCACATCAATTGGTGAAGAAGGCCTGGATATCATGGAAGTTGATCTTGTAATATGTTTTGATGCTAATGTTTCTCCATTGAGAATGATTCAGCGGATGGGGAGAACTGGAAGGAAGCATGATGGACGAGTTGATATCCTTTTCTCATCTGGTTAATACAGTTGATGAAGTAGGCTGTCAGTCACATTGACATGAGCTTACAACAAACTCTAATAATATAATTTTTTTTACTTTTTGAAAACATTAAATACTCATCATTTTGTTATGTTCGAACACTTATTCTAGTGGATCCTTGACAAATGTTACTAGTTTTAGCTTGTGAAGGGTCAGAAATGAAAGGTTATATGCGAAAGCAAGCAAGCAGCAAGGCTATAAAAAAACACATGCATAATGGGGGAATGAGTAGCTTCGATTTCCATCCTAGTCCGAGGATGGTAAATTCTTCTAAAAGTTGCCTGGTCTTATCTCTTAGTGTTGTTTTGTTATATTGCTAAACCTACGAGTTTTATTATGTTTGGTTGTAGATACCCCATATTTACCAACCAGAAGTCCAATACGTTGAGCTGTCAATTGAGCGATTCATTTCTCGTGGAAAGAAAGTTAAAGATGATCATGCTATTGAGACTCCTGTTTTCAAAGAAAAATTAACTGTCACCGAGACTGATTTAATTGCCAAGTATTTCCAGCACACAAATGATACAACTTCAAGATTATCTCTTATTGCATTTCCACACTTTCAGGCATTTCCCTCCAGAGTTCATAAAGTAAATCATTCTTATAGAACAGGGATGCTGATTGACATGATGCAACATTTGCAAGGATTAACTTTTTCAAGTGACAGCAGAACATTCTTTGCTGAGGTTTCCTCTCTATTGCAAGATTAGATTTCTGCTAATATATTTTTATTGTGATTGCTTGTAACTTTACATAATGGATTCAGGATGAGGTTTCTTCAGGCAAGTGCTTGGGAGTTCAATCGTTTGTACAACGTGAAAATGATAACAAAGGTAATTCATCTTTTACTTCTAACATGGCATGCCCTCTCAAATTTGTATTCAGGAGGATTTCTGTAGTTTTTTCAGTTTAGTTACTGCTAGATCATATAAACCAAAGTGTTAGTGGGGTATTAAAGCTGTCCAACTATCTTAAATGTACTGCATTGCTGGAATTTCCATATGTATGATATCACAATAATGTAAATGATATGAGAGTATGTGAGCGATCTTATAAATTTGTTTATACTTGCTGTCAGTCATACCTCAGTTTGCACCTCCAGGCCGAATTTTAGCTATAAAGTGAGTGGTTGAAACATTTCATTATCATACCGACATTGAAAGTATTTTACAGATAATGATAGTTTTGCAGTTTGCCTCATTGAAATGTAACTGAAGTACGTTAAGCCTCAACTTGAATTCATCAACAGAGTCCCATGTTTATCATCTTCTCCAACCAGATAATTAGTAACTGTCGATGTTTAGAATACTTATGCAATGCAACAGTATATGTTTTTGATTGGTCTATAATGAAGTTCCCATAATGCTGTTGCAGATTCGTTCATTTTGGATAACTTTGAAGGACCCAAATCACCAAAAGAAGTAACAGAGCCTGAATTATCTCCTATAAGGACCTTAAACACTGAGAAGAAGCATAACATGCTTCAGTTCTGCAGCAAAAATTCTGCAGCACACTCTTACCTTTTTGGTTCAGATTTCGTATCTGTTGATGCTCTGGGAAAGGTCTTAATTGTATCTCTCCCTGCTTTTCGCTTTCAAGAATTATCACATTCTAAATGTATAAGTGGTAGCAGTACACTGCGGCTGAATCATTGGAAAGAAGATACCTTCCATTTGAAGACTTTTGACAAAAACTATGATGAACTTGATATGGGAGCTAAAGCTGTTGTAGAACAACCAATTTCCCAGGCACCATGCATAAGAAGTGTTAATCTCCAAATATCTAGTCCCAATTCTGAAGCCCAGCAGGAGAAAGCAGTTGATGGGTCTGAGAAAATCCTTGAAACTCCTATTTTGAAGAGAAATCAATTAAATGAAGAAGGAGATATGACTGATGAGATATTTGAAGTGGAAATTAAAGAACCATCCCCGCAAGCTGATAAATACAATGATGATCTAATAGATACTGAACTTAGTCCCAGGCTAACTAATTTGATCAAAAGTGGTGTTGTTCCAGAGTCGCCTATCAATGACAGAGGTCTGTTTGCACCCCAAAACTAATATTATTTTATATATCCTGAAGTCAAGGTATACTGTACGTAGCTGACTAACTCATGCTGAATAAACTTTTATTTTGCAGGGCGACTAAATAATGAGGGACGAAATGAATTTCTGATACCAGATTTTGCTTCACCTGTCAAATTGTGTTCTGAACAGCAAACTAAGTCTTTAAGTGTAGGGGAAAACAAATGGGGTATAGACAGTAGTGACAGTGGAAGAAATGTCCCTGTTTCTCCCATTAATATTGAATGTCAAACTCCTTTACTTAAGTTTAACCATATTGCCAGTGCAAGAAGATGTAACTTTGCTTCTCCAGTTGCTGAGGAAACCAAAACTTCCCTGAAAAGTATTACATCCCCTAGCTGTAGTAGGGATTGGCAATTGAGTTCTGAAGACAAGTCGCAAAATGTTAAACCGGTGCGTAAACTTAAAAGGCTGCGCAAAGCTGCAGATTGTGTAGAAACAAGGCATTTGCAAGACATGAAAGAAAAGACTGTAAGTTCTGGTGTGAATCTCGCCAGACCTTTTTCTGGTACCAGTCCTATCCAAAATAAGCATGGCAGAGGTAAGTTGAGTTTATTTTGTGTTTTTTATCTTTTATTTGTCTGTTTGTCTATGTGTTTGATGGAGTCCTGAGTTTTTGTTTCATGTCTCTAGTTGTTTGTACTTTCCAGCGCAGAACTTTCTAATTTTAAATTGACTTTTTCTCAGACTGAATTGTTCTAAACATTGGTTTTGTTTGATTAGAAACTTGGTTATGCTAGAATTATATTGCTTCCTCAATATGTTTATGATAAGATTATGTATGATACCTGGTTATTGAATTCAGGTAAAAGGAAACCAGTAGACAAGGTCAGATCATTCATTGAGGAGGAAGCAGAGTAAGTTTATTTATGTTATGAAGTTTTATTATTTAAGATAGTTCCTGTTAGCTTATATAGGCATATTATAATGAAAAATAAAAAGGATTTATGTTCAAAACCTTCCGCTTGGATAATAATGTCTAATTGTTTCTGTACAAAGGAATGGAGTAATATTAAATTTCTTGCCAAAGGTTCTAAGTTGGAATATTGTCTGGAATGCGTTTTTGATTGCCTCTTCAGGGTGTCTTCAGAAGCTGAAATTTCTGATGATGAGGAAGATGACCAGGACGACTTGTATGAGGATAGTTTCATAGATGACAGGATAAATCCTACAGCAGCAAGTACTCAAGCTGAATCTAGTGGAGTTGACATGGTGGCAATATATAGGTATTTGATTCTCTCTCCGTCTCACCTGCACATACAATGCACAATTCTGTTTGCTAGCATTTCAGACATATGTATCGAAGTCAATATATTATAATATGTTGATGGAACTTTTTAAATTTAACAATTAAAAAATCTTTTCATTTTTCATTTCGAATCCAATATTTCGTAGTGAAGATACCGGGCAACACTTCCAATATGAAATTGCATCAAATAGTGTCGGAGCAATGTTACTGTTTATGCTTAATTTGAAGTCCCCAGTAAGGGACCTAATTTCGCTTTTGTAACATTTATAACCATGATTTAATGTTTAGCTTATGAATTTCAGTTACATATCGAAACTCGAAGTGTGTTGATATGGGTATTTTGGGTTTTGGATTTTTGTTTGCGGAGTGTATTCTCTTCCTTTTTTCTTTGTTGGCTTCGGTGAAAACCAGGATTTTGTTTTTTTTTTTTTTTTTTTTTTTTTTTTTTTTATTTTTTTTTTTCTTAAGTTTCCATCAAATAATTTTTTCTATTTTTAGTTTATTGTTTGACTTTCCACACTGATGGAGCCACGATCTAAAAACTGATTGATTTCCTACAATAGGCGTTCTTTGCTCAGTCAATCACCGGTGGTGAGGCAGCCAAATTTTTCTGCCACTTATAGTCCTGATTGTGCAACTCCTATGACCAGAACAAGTGATAGCAGAAGCTCCTCAGGAAAGACATTGCCCTCTGTCCAGACACTTCAGACCGAATCTAAATATCAGCCTGCTTACAAAAATTCTGAGTCATTTCAGACAAACCAAGAGAGAATCACCTTAGAAGCCAGTGCTTGTAAACCATCTGATTTAAACACAGAGAATGAGAGGAAACGGAAATTGAGTTTCTATCAGTTAGAATCTATACCAGCAATCAACTTGGCGCGAAAATTTTCATTCCAGTCAGAGGCCACAGGCAAAGAACCTTGTCAGGAGGGTCACGCTGAGAACACAGAAGCAGATACACTTGATGATGACGACCAATTCTATGAGCATCTCGATCTAGACGCCGTGGAGGAACAAGCTGCCTTGCTTTTGAAGCAAAAGTCGGAATTTTCACTTCATGACCAAGAAACAATTCCTCCATCAAAACTGCAAAATATTGGTGTTCAAGGTTCACCATCTTTTGATCTTGGGATATAGACATAGTATACTTTTTTAGGGGAAATCTAGAATGTTTGTGCCGAAATTTAATCAGTACAGACGGGTTGTAAATTATCTGTGCAATTGTGAATAGATGTAATTATATAGTTAATTTATGTCAAGTCCGCCTATGACAGATGAAATAACGTATATTTATGTTACTTACCATTCATTCAATGAACTATGTTGATGCTTGATTTTGAACACCAACGATTCGCACGTACAAAGTGTTAAAAAAGTCCTAAAAATTACGCATGATAAATCCATGAGATTTGAATATGATGTTGAGATTATATATGTTGCAGAAAACATAAAAATAGGTTGACAAGAAAGGTTTTTATAGTGGTTCGGATACTTAAAGCAAATCTTACATCTATTGTTATTGTATTATTTTCTGGCTATTTTTATGATATTGCTCGTAAAGCATACAAAGATAGAACAAAGCTTTGTTTACAAAGAGAAATAATGAAGCTCAAATCTATGCCTAATTTTCATATGTCCAACCCCCCTTTTTTGTGAAGAGAAATGTCAATTTATACACCTCTGAAGTCAATGTAATGAGTGTTTTGCAAGTTGCCTTGACACATGAACAGCTCTCATCCGTTCTTCTCTTAAAATGAGATAGGGTTGGTGTAAGATATCTTTGAGGCGGTATGGGCTTGACAGGAGATACAATTTGTCTTTTAGGCACTTATTGAGCTGACATCAGCATGACTTTTTAAGCATAACAGAACGCTCCCAGTTTTTGGAGTGCGTAATCGCCCTTCAAAAACTCAGGTCTTTGATCTGAATGGTTGTCGCAGTATAGGCTGTAGTCTCGAATTGAAGAGCTCGAACTATGCTTGGCGCAATCAGGTGTTGAGAGCTAGGACTGCGATCAGAAAGCTTGGAGAGATCCGAAGCCGAGCGCGATCTGATGACATGAAATGTCGAATAGATGAATTCCTGGAAGGAGCTAGCGTCAAAAGCCCAAACGCACGGCTTAGAGGCCTTAAACGGATAGGCCAACTTAAAACAACCATAACTTTTAATCTGAGAGGAGTTTTAGAGCCCGTAAGATATCCACGGAAAGCTTGTTCCGAGCTCTACATCATGGCAATGGGGGAACCCAGTTAGGGCCATTTTCGAGGCCAAAATCTACTGTTTTGACATGTTTCGTGGCAGTTTTGAGTTTTTTATGCGTTTTTCTGACAAGGGCAATTGGTCGCGATTTGAGAACTGATCGCGATCTGAGAGTTGAGAACACGACCTGAAACTGTTCACAATATCAAAGCTAAAAGCTTATCGCGATTTGATAGGAGCTCGACCTGAGAGTCTGAGGCATGTGATCTGAACGATCTGATTCACACGATCTCAAGTAAACAAGCGAGCTTATGAGCTCAATCTGAGGGCATAAGGAGCTCGATCAGAAAGCGCAGAAGGAGTTTGATCAGAAAGCGCAAAGCTTGATTTGAGAACTCAAGATCAACGATCTGAGCGTGCGATTAGCGATCTGGCCACGCGATCGAAAAGCTAAAGATCAGTGATCTGAGCGTCCAATCAGCGATTTGACCACGCAATCTGAAGCTAAAGATCAGCGATCTGAAGCTGAAGATCAAGACGATCTGAGCGTGCGATCAGCGATCTGGGCAAGTGATCGGAGAGCTAAAGATCAGCGATTTGAGCGTGCGATCAGTGATCTGAAGCTAAAGATCAAGACGATCTGAGCGTGCGATCAGCGATCCGGCCACGCAATCTTAGAACTCTGATGCGTGCGATCAGCGATATGGCTATGCGATCGAAGAACTTTGATGCGTGCGATCTACGATCTGGCCATGCGATCGGAGAACTCCGACGCGTGCAATCAACGATCTGGCCACACGATCAGATAACTCTGACGCGTGCGATCTACGATCTGGCCACGCGATCGAAGAACTCTGATGCGTGCGATCTACGATCTGGCCACGCAATCGAAGAACTCTGACGCGTGCAATCAGTGATCTGGCCACGCGATCGAAGAACTCTGATGCGTGCGATCTGCGATCTGGCCACGCAATCGGAGAACTCTGACGCGTGTGATCTGCGATCTGGCCACGTGATAGGAGAACTCTGACGCATGCGATCAACGATCTGAAGCTGAAGATCAAGACGATCTGAGCGTGCAATCAGCGATCCAGCCACGCGATCTGAGAACTCTGATGCTTGCGGTCAACGATCTAGCCACGTGATCTGAGAACTCCGATGCTTGTAATCTGCGATCTGGCCACACGGTCAGAGAACTCTAACGCAAGTGATTTGCAATCTAGCCACGCGATCGGAGAACTCTGGAGTGTGCGATCTGGCCATGCGATCGAAGAACTCTAACCCGAGCGATCTGCGATCTGGCCACGCGAATCTGAAACACTGATGCGTGCAATCAGTGATCTGGCCACGCGAATCTGAGAACTCCGATGCGTGTGATCTGCAATCTGACCACGCCATTAGGGAACTTGGACACAGGTTTGAGACCTACATGGGCCACCAAACTGTTGATGCTTGATTTTGAACACTAACGACTCGCACGTGCAAAGTGCTAAGAGAGTCTTAGAAATTACACGTGATGGATCCATGAGATTTGAATATAGTGCTGAGATTATATATGTTGTAGAAAACATAAATAATAGGCTAACAAGAAATGTTTTTATTGTGGTTCGGATGGTTAAAGCAAATCCTACATCCACTGTTATTGTATTGTTCTCTGGCTATTTCTATGATATTTCTCGTAAGGCATACAAATATGGAACAAAGCTTTGTTTACAGAGAGAAGCAATGGAGCTCAAATCTATGTCTAACTCTCATATGCCTAACCCCCCATTTTCATGAAGAGAAGTGTCAATTTATACACCTCTGAGATTAATGTAATGAGTATTTTGCAAGTTACCTTGACACATGAACAACTCTCATCCGTTCTTCTCTTAAAATGAGATAGGATTAGTGTAAGATATCTTTGAGGCTATATGAGTTTGACAGGAGGTACAATTTGTCTTTTAAACACTTATTGAGCTGACATCAGCGTGACTTTTTAGGTATAACCAACTATAACAAAAGAGTTGTCAAAAACATAATGCGAGTATTAGTTTTTCACAAAAAGGAATCATTAATATTTTGTTGTGCTAGCTGTGATGAATGATATGGTTTTCTTATTTGATTGCTGATCCATTTTGGCAATAAATAAGGCCCTACATAGAGATTTTAAAAGATATTACAACAAAAAGTGGGGCTAAATATCCATTTCTACAAAAAGAATTGACTTTTTTTTTTTTCCAGTTTCATCAGATCAAATTGCTGTTTCAATTTATAATCCTGCAGAAATATTACAACAAAAAGCGGGCCTAATATTTGAAAGACTGGTGGCATTAGCCCCTACGAAAATATCATTGGGTGCGTTTAGTTTATTATTTTAGATAGGATTTTGGAAATAATATTGGGTAATTGGATAGAGGAGTATTACGAGGTAAATTTAAAAATTTATGAAAATGCCTCTAGGTTTATAATTTAATTAAACACCCTAATGTATAACATGACAAAAACATCCCCATCACCTGCAGTGCCAGATTCTGGCCGGAAAATCACGTTACGACACAGACCGATCGAATCTGTGTCGTAATGCATCGTTATGGCCTTTTCCGACCAGATCCACAATGGATCTGGCCAGAAAAGGCCAGATGCACGGCCTGCTGTGGTCGCGACGGCCCAAAAAGGCCAAAATGACGGCCAAAGATGTGGCTGTCGTTTTCGATCAACGATAGCCATTTCTTTGGCCGTCGTTACGGCCATATCTGACATTTTCCAGTCAGATCTGTGGTAGATCTAGCCGAAAAAGGCCAGATCGGTGAACTTCCAACCATTTCTAGTCGACAGGCAGGCCGTTGTATAGATTTCGACTACCACCGACGGTGGTTGCCAAAATCTGGCAAGTATGGATTGCGGAAGTGTTTTTGCTAATTTTTAAACTTTTTTTTCAGAAGGTATTTAATGAAATTAATAATCTTATAGGGTCTAAAAGTAATTAAAAAAATAGGATAATATTTCTAGAATAATGTGCCAAACATTATTTGGAGAATAAGATTGAGAATATGAACCGAAATAATAAGCCAAACATGTCCCTTAATATTATATTATTTAAAACTTTTTAATTTTTTTCTTTTTCAAAAGTAACAACTTAACTACACAATAAGAAATAAGTGATAAATTCTATTGTTTCACAAGCAGCAAGTAATATTCGGCAACCGCAAATCTCAAGCCACTATCACAAAACAGGAATTTTATATAACATAATAACAGAAAAGAACTTTCACAACGAATCAGCAGATCATCATAGCATTCACCGGTCAACAAATCTTTCTACATCTCTAAAGGTTAAGGGTTAACAACTATTTTACATTCACATGAGAACTAGCAGCTCCTACAGGCACATCCGACAAACAGGTACCTGTTCACATGAAACTGGGTCGAGGAAAACGGGCTAGTAACAACTTCATTGCTGACCAGACATGATCGACATGGCTCGTCTAAAGTCCAGAGATTTGAGGGCTGACTCTGGGAAATGTTTTCCATCCGGCAACCAAAATCCACCTGTATTGGGAAGCAAGACTTTTGGTTGGGTACCTTTTGCTCCACCTTCAGCAGGTTGCATAGGTTGATCTTCTTTCTTTTTCTTCACAAATTCAAAAAACTCGGCAACTTGGCGGGCATACCTTCACAATATGCAAATTTTGATGATTTAGTCTACAGAAATATGAAACTAGGAGTCGAAGTATACAGACGCTTTAGAGCATAATAATTAATAAACATTTCAAAAACACAGGGCCCGGTTTAAAACAATAAAATTAAGAATTGTGTAAACTTTGCTCATGTAGGCACAAGTCTGCTGGCATCAGATTTCTAAGAAACAATGTATTTACCTTGATTTTTTCTCTTTCTTGGGAACAAAGTATGGTGTATTGATGATTCATAAAGAAACTAAAAATTAAAGACATAAGCACCTGAAAATCAAGGATAAGCCGTCCTAAAACCCTGAATGGGTTCCAAAAACTATACAAAGGAAAGTATAGCCATATGACACCCAAGAGATATTTAACTTTTTAGCTTGATTATACCACAACCAATCAGCAGTTGAGCAATAAGCGTGACAACAAGGGAATAGAAAAAGTAAAAGGACCAAAATAGGTGCTTGTTCAAGCCCAGCAGAATTATAGACATCATAACCAAGACTGAAAAACGAAAAAAAAGACAGTGAAAGAGAAATAAAGTAGAATTCATTTTATAGCAAGACAAGAAACATGCAACTGTGGCCAGAAAAATCAATAGCCATTTCAAAACAATGGCAGCAACAAAAAAGAACTTATGGAATTAATACAGGAAAACACAGTAGATACGGACAAGTTGATGCATTAACACTACTGCGTATTGTCTTGACACATGACTATCAGCATATGATTGATATATACATGATTCTGCATACAAATGCTGATGAATACATTCTATTTAGGAATCTTTTTTCAAAAATGCGGTAAACTGCATACATCAACCAACAAATTGCAGACACCTATGCTACCATTACTGGTTAGAATGATAAACAATAATGCAAGCTTATCAATCTGCTTCGTCGAGAAACTAAAAACAATATTCCCCAGCTATGCAGCATATACGATAGGAAAAAGTTTGGACAGTATCATCAATTAATAGTCCAAACCACAGCAATGATTCAACAAAGCATATTCATGGTTATACTGTGTAGGACAACACCACAAAATGTGATTTGTGAGTACCAGTAAGGAAAGTTGATCAGAACAAATTGTTTTATTAATGCAGATAAGAATAAAAAACTTAAAAGGGCATAATTATCTTACTGCTTCTTTGCTTCGATATCTCTGCTGAAATCAATGTTGGGTTCACAGTCGAGAACTAAAGCAGGAACCTGGTCATAACCATAGAAAAGTAAGCCCAAATTCATTCAGAGAACTTATATGAATTTCACACAAAAAGACATATAAGCGATACCTTCTGAATACTGGAATGCATATGTGCACCCTCTAAATAGAATACACGGTCTCTTATCTCAGGATGTAAAGAGTTGTCCATATGCAGAGGGAGCTGACTGACAGACAACACCCCATGATTACCACTTTCAAATGGGAAAAGCCAGTTCTCATGCTTTTCATGCAAGGAACGCAGGTAGTCTAGGGAGACTCCACCCTCCTCTTCTCTCTTCCGCAGCATCATTCTCTTGTGGCATGTATCAGGGGTTGCCCTAAGATAGATGAAGCCATCTGGGATAAGACCAGGCAAGACTGATACAACAGGATCAAACCATGAATCATAAATGCTGATCTCCATCTCATTCATATATTTTGCTTCATGAACAGCTCGGACAAAAACCTACATTATGTAACCATGAGAGAAGATAAATACTCAGTAACTTAATTCATGTCTTTCTTCCTATAAAACCAGTCAACAAAGTAAAGACATATGGTTTCAGGTTCATGATTCCATGATGCTCAAGTAAATTGAGCAAAAAATATAGAAACTCTACCACAACTACGATGATAAGGATATCACAACATTAATTATTATATTTCTTCAATTACCGACAAAAGAATAATGAATTCTTACCATCCTGTCACTAAAAACACTCCTCTCCAGCAACCTGAGTGGCTTAATTCCAACAGATGACTGCCTCTCCTGCATAACCCTTGTCACGAATACATAATTCTGGAAGGTATAGGCATACCTTTCTGGCTCGTCATAATAAGCTCCCAATATATTAAAGTGGTCAGGTCCAACATTCTGCCACTTATCAATTGGCTCAGGAACGATCTCAACAAGGTCACGAAGCTCGAGTGTCTCATTCGCTATCCTCTGAAGGAACGTAGTTTTCCCAACACTTATATTTCCCTCAACGCAGAGAGTGATTCTTTTCTTCGGAGTGGGCTTATCATCTGAGTTTGAATCCTTTAGCTCTTCATCCACACTCTCTTTAATGAAAGTTGTAATACTCTCAGCATGATTTTTGTGGATAATCCCTACTGAACTCTGTAAATACTCCACCATCTTCCCACTAGCCTTCCAAAACTGAACTCAAAAAACACCTTCATCAGCCCCTCACTCAAATCTAGGATTTCAACATCAGAGCAACAATAAGACTAACTTTATATTCCAAAGGGCGCCAAAGTTAAACACAACAACAAAAATCAACACAATTCAGGATAAACCGAACCACCCACCAAAAGAACTCTCAAAACTCATTTTCCAATTACAGCACATCATTCAAATTTTAAATATTAGATTCTGACCACCCCATTTTTTTAACCGTATCCGAAATGCGTTTACTATCATTTTCTGAAACAATATAAGAAATTAAAAACAATTCCTTTATTATCATTTTTTCTCAAAATTTTAGTCATCCAATGTGATTCAGTATACAAATATTGCACATATTTCAAGAAAAAAATGTTTTTTAAAGGTAAACACTACCTTCTATCTTACGCTAGATTAAAACAATTAAAACTTTGTTTTATAAAAAGAAAAAGATTTTGTTATATAATTAATACATCTGAGTATTCTGACACTGCAAAGTTATACAGAAGCAAAAAAAAAAATTGAAAAATTTATTAAAAAAAATAACTAAACTTTATACCTTATCCTTATACAACTGCTTGAGTTCAGCGACTCCCCCAATTCCATTATCAACAAGCTTTCTCAAATTCCTCGGACCAACTCCCGGAATCGTCAACAAATCCGGGTTCCCCACTAACCCACTTCCACTCTTTTGCCTTCTACTATTCAACTTCAAGCCCTTCTCTTCACTCTTCTCCTCCTCAGCTTTCGTACCCTCCACGGCCACCGTGTGGTACCACGCCCGTCCCTCCTTCAAAACTACCCACGCCCTCGGCGGCGGTGTTTTAGCTCCCACCGAGGAACGGAAGTTAAAGCGAGAAGAGATTGTGGGTTTTCTAGAATTCGGCAACGCAACAGCGAAGACTGAGCGACCGGCCGCAGCGGCGGCTGCCGTTGCAGGCATTTTTGGAACTGGGCTGAAGTTTAGAATGGATAAAGAGTAAGAGTAAGGGGTAGACTTAGTGCAGAGAAGGGGGCTTGAAGGGTTTAGGCGCAGAAGCTTCTGCATACTTCAATAAGGGCATTTCAGTTGGTGTGAGCGGTAAGCTCAAGAGGGTTAGTGTGTCTGTCTCTAAGCTTTTGATGTTTTCAGGGAAGTTTCAAAATTGGAGGGTTCATGAGTACTGCTCACTGCTAAAAGGAGAATGATTTTAGGGTTTTTATTTTATTTTTTCTAATAAATTAATAGGGTTTTTGATTGGCCTCCTAGGGTTAAAACGTTTTTACAGTTCTGAAGTTTGGGGAAAACTGAACCCCATGTATTTAAAATTTAAAATTATGATCCTATTAGTTTAAAAAGTACAATAAAACCCCTAAAGGTTGGGTGGCCAAGTACACGAGATTATCTTTTGAATTTTGAGTTCCTTCACAGATTGCTGATAGTATTGAGTATTGACAGGAACTTTTTTTAGTTGTTGTATAGTTACTATTGTTTTGTTCATCTTGATCATTATACATACAATACAAATACATGAAATTTTTCAGGTGTAGACCTAAGCTAGAATATAAACTTAAAATTTGGACCTAAACTCAGGAACATTATTTTTGTCCTACAACGACAATTTCATTAATTTATCTCTAAACTAAACTTGGTTGAACTGAAAAACAAAAAAGTTAAAATTTGATCTTAGTTAAAAATCTTTTATCATTCAGATACGATTGAATGTGGCAGTTAACTTTTTGCGTTAACTAATACTACTAATGGGGGTTTAGTGTCAATTTTTTAAAATATGTGGGTACAACTGAACTTTTTCACAGCCCAAGAAAAGGTGGTGGACTACTGTGTACCGGACACCGTCACGAATTTAGGGAGAAGAGATTTTTGTCATTGTGGACAAATTTATATTTAATGCTCTTCCTTAAAAAGGTGTGAGTATCCCTTATGACACGTCTCCATCACCCACCATGCTGTGCGTTTTATCTCTCCTATCCTACGTCTCTGATTGGCTAATCCTGACCATTCGATGGCCCCACTAATCAAAGTATATGTTCCCGCCACATTGGATTCTATCCCTGTTTTGCACGTGTAACCATTTCTATTATTCTCTTTCTCATACCATCATCGTTTTTTCAGAAAATAAAATAATTAAATTTTTATAAATAAACATTAAAATATTTAAGTAAAATAGTGCACCTTAGAGAAAGTATATAGAGAATAATTATAATTTTTTTAATTATTTATGGTTTGTTATAAAGAGGTCAATTCATAATAATGGGCATCAAGAAGCCAATAGCCTTGAAAAGTGCCAATCAACTTTCCCGCCTTTTTTTTTTACAAATGCGGAAAAGGTAGTCAACATCTTTCTTTTCAATCTGTAAGTATCGAATGATTAATCATAAAATCATTTAAATTAGTTTTATTTTTTTCTTTAATATAGTTAATATCTAAATCTGTATATGTGGAGATTATTTTATATTATATGGTATTAACAGAATAATTAGAATGTACACTACATAACAAAAGGATGAACAAATCGCAACATCTTATTGTGATATTTTCACTTTAAACAAAAATTTAATATATTTGTGCTTTAAATTATTGCTATCAATAATTTGAAATTGAAATTGTTGGTTTGGGCTAGTTGGGCCTTCAAAATATGGGCTATTTATATGGATTTCACCAACAAGCCCATTAAGAGGAGTAAAATTAAATTTGGGCTTCTTCAAGAATTGATTGTGCAGAGTTTCATTTTAAAATGCAAAGTTTGTGCTCATATCTAGCGGTGAGCGGTTCTGGGTACCCTGTATTTTTCAGGAGAATCGAAACCACACAGTGCAGGTTCTCAAAAAAAGGAACCGGAACTGCACAGTGCAGATTCTTAAATTCAAGGAAACGGAACCTAAAATACAGGTTCTGGTTCCTTTCCCGGGTATCATGTAAAAAATCAATTACCCTCTATTATTTAAAAAATGACAAAAATACCTTAAAAGCTTACAAATACACCCCTAAAAAATTTTGATTACTCATTCATTTGTGTCAAATGTAAATCATAAATCCTCTAATCTCTAGACAACACTTGAATTCAATCAATTCATCACAATTCACATAAAATTTTTCAATCAAAACCAAGACACAAACAATTATTCATCTGTAAATTGTTAATTTAATGTTATAAATTGTTAATGTTATAATATAATATAATAATATTGTAATTAATTAAGTAATTATTTAATTAAAATGTAATGTTATAATTAATTAAGTAATCATACTATACATGTATAATATAATGTTATAATTAATTAAATTTCTAATTATTTAATTAAATATTGTACTAATGTTTATAATGTAATGTTATAATTAATTAAGTAATCATACTATAAATTTATAATGTAATGTTACAATTAATTAGATTTTTCAACCATTTAATTAAGTAATGTACTAAACTACTAATGACTAATGTAGTAAATTAATAATGTTTATAATATAATATTATAAATTTATAATTAATTAAGTAATCACTTAACTATGTAATGCTATAATTAATTAAGTGATCATAATATAATATAATGTAATAATGTTATAATTAATTACGTAACAATTTAATTAAGTAATCATTTGTTTATAATGTAATGTTACAATTAATTAAGTAATCATACTATAAATTTATAATGTAATGTTAATATGTTATAATTAATTAAATTTCTAATCATTTAATTAAGTATTGTGATAATGTTCATGTAGTAAATTACTAATGTTTATAATATAATGTGTATTGTCATAATCAATTAAGTAATCATTTAATTATATAATGTTATAATTAATTATATGATCATACTTTAATGTAATGTTGTAATGAATTAAGTAATCATATTATAAATCTATAATGTAATGTTATAATTGCAGCAGCTCAAACAAGAAATTGAAGGACTTCTGGAAGAAGATGATATCAAATGAAAGCAAAGAGCTAAACAACAATGGTTAAAAGATGGTGGTCGTAATACAAAATTCTTTCACTTGTGTGCTAACCAACACAGGAAGTCTAATGTTATCAGGTAAATTTCAAGTGATGATGGCAGGTTTGCTAATAAATCTGAAGAGGTTAGCAACCTTTTTCAATTATTCTTTCAATCATTATTTTCTTCGTCAATGCCTAAGAAAATAGAGGACTGTATCCGTGTGGTAAAGCCTGTTATAACTCCTGAAATGAACAGTGATTTGGTTAAGCAAATTTCTAACGAAGAAGTAGAAAAAGTTGTTTTCAATATAAATGGTTTAGGATCTCCAGGACCTGATGGATTTCCTGCCATCTTCTATCAGAAACATTGGATGATCATTGGACCTAGCGTGTGTGCTGCTGTGAAAGATGCCTTCTGTTCTGGGAGCTGGCCTCAGGACTTTAATGCTACTCTTATTGCATTAATTCCCAAGGTTAAAACTCCTTCTAAAGTGTCAGAGTTCAGGCCAATATCTTTATGCAACGTTCTTTATAAAAATTTTGGCCAAGGTCCTTGCTAATAGATTGCAAAAAATCCTACCATAGATTATATCTCCATCACAAAGTGCTTTCATACCAGACCAGTTGATTACTGATAATGCTATAGTGGCATTTAAAGTCATGCATACTATGAATACTAGTCTAAAAGGGAAGGATCGTTATATGGTGCTTAAGCTTGATATGAGCAAGGCTTATGACAGGCTTGAGTGGTCTTTCCTGCAAGCAGTCATGCTTAAGATGGGTTTTAACCCAACTTGGATCAAAGTCATCATGAACTGCTTCTCATCAGTTACTTACTCGGTTCTCATCAATGGGATTCCTCAAAAACCATTCAAACCTTCTCGTGGGATTAGACAAGGTGACACTTTGTCACCTTATCTATTCATTATTGGAGCTAAAGCTCTTAATAGGCTCATCCAAGATGCTGAAAACAGAGGAGTTATCAAAGGGGTTCCAATAGGGCGTTCTAAAATGAGTATTAGCCACCTCTTTTATGTTGATGACTGTCTTCTCTTCTGTAAGGCTGATCATTATGAATGAAATAGGTTGTTTAAGCTACTAGACACCTATGAAAAGAGTTCCGGGCAAAGAATTAATAAAGAAAAAACTTCTATATTTTTCAGCAAAAATACTAAAGGAGATGTCAAGCAGCAAATTATCCAAGTGGTTGGGGTAAAATCCTCTCATCCTTATGACAAATACCTTGGACTTCCAACGTTGATTGGGAGGGACAAAACAAGAGGTTTTAAGCACATCCTGGACCGAGTACGAGGCAAAATCAGTAATTGGAAGATGAAGTATCTATCACAAGCTGGGAAAGAAACTCTACTTAAGGCTGTTATTCAAGCTCTTCCAACATATAGCATGGGTGTTTTTAAAATCCCAAAAACCATCTTACAAGAGCTGAATAGATTGACTAAAAATTACTGGTGGGGCCAAAAGAATGACGAAAGCAGGATTCACTGGTGTTCATGGGATAAAATGAAGCTGTCCAAGACCAATGGTGGCTTAGGCTTCAGAGATTTAGAACTCTTTAACTTGGCTATGCTTGCCAAGCAGGGTTAGAGACTTCTTCATTATCCTAATTCATTTGCTGCGAGAGTTTTATCTGCTAAATACTATCCTGAAGGTTATTTCTTAGAAGCTAAAGTTAAAAGAACATCATCCTTTATTTGGAGAAGTGTAATGGCAGCAATGCTACTTTTGGAATCTAGTTTAATGTGGCGCATTGGTGATGGTTCCAAGGCCCAGATTTGGCAAGACAAATGGCTTCCTTCTCCATCTTCATTTAAGATTCAAAGTCAATGCCTTGGCATGGACCCGGAGGCTAAGGTGGCTACTCTTATAGATCCCCAATCAAAATCCTGGAAATTGGATCTACTCAAAGACTTGTTCTCTAAATTAGAAGTTAACACCATCTGTCAAATTCCCATCAATGTCTTCAAAAGACCAGATAAACTTGTTTGAAGATGCTCTCAAAATGGTCGATTCTCGGTAAGGAGTGCATATCACCTGCAAGTGGAGTCTCAACTCTCATCCCGAGGCCAATCCTCTTCTGCATCCAATGAGAATAAAAAGTGGAAGAAGTTATGGAAGCTTCCCATCACTAATGCAGAGAAGCTATTTTTGTGGAAAGCTTGCAAAGACATTCTACCTACCAAGTGTAACCTTGTCAAGAAAAGGGTGATTGAGGATCCTTTTTGCCCCTTCTATTGCTCAC